CAAATACTTTTTCCGAGTCTGTGGCTTCACTTTTTCCCCTGTTGGAGAAGTTTTGGGATGTGCATAGAGATTTGATTCTTAGAAGATCCCATTCATTTATTTTATCTTCTCCTGGTTGTAGAGTAAATAGCTGTTCCACAGATGAAAAATGGGCGATTTCCACCTGTGTAATTTACTGCCTCTGAAAACCCACTGGAGGATGAGATATGAGTTGGTTGAGATTCAAAAGCACCTAACAACAGCAACTTACCAAGGAAGAATAAAAGTGAACATGAAATTTTAAAGCCAAAAGAAAACAAGAATGTCAATGAAACAAGTCAGAATACTCTGAGGTGGTAGGATAAGAAAAGACACTTCAGAAGATGAGGCATCTCTGGATGGAAACAAGGAAAAGGAGAACAAACAATAGTTCCTCATCAGTCACTCTCTTTCTTCTACTCTCCTTTTACCCAATAAATATTAACTGACTGCTATCAGCGATTCTATTTAAAACACTGGGATTCAATACTTTAGGAGGAGAAAAATAGTCCCTGAGACATAGAATTCAGAATCTGATGATGTGAAATGAAATTGAAAAATGGAAATTAGAAACAACATACAAATAAGCAAAGAGATAAGCTTCTATAAAAAATAGAACTTGTTTTATGGAAGCTGGGAAAATACTCCTATAGAGACAGCTCTTTCTATTGTATGTTGTCAAGTCAGAATCGACACATAGCTGACTTTCCAGCAGGTTTTCTGAGGCAGTAAACCACATTCCTTGGAGGCATAAGTGATGAGGATTCACCTCACGTACTTTGGGCACACTGCTAGGAGGGACTATTCCTTAGGGAGGGACATGATGCTGTGAAGGGTGGAGGGTTAACAAAGAAGAGGAAGAACCTCAACTAGGTGGATTAACACAGTGACTGCTGCAATGGGCTCCTATGTGTCACGAAGTGTGAGGACAGGACTAGGTTCAGATCTTTTGTTCATAGAGTCACTTGCAGTTGTACTTGACTTGATGGCACCTAACAATAACATAACAAAAATAACTTTAGATGAGATTTCCCATCCTCATCACGCTATATAGGTACTTGTTCTTGTTAGCGCAATTGAGTCACCTGCAATTTAGAGCAACCCTATATACAATAGTAAAACAATTTTATATTATGAAAATCAAACAGAAGAATTTACATTTGAGGTAGAAGAAGTATGACATATTGGTAATTCCTGTGCATTTACAAATGAAGACTTTTGCAGTCAATGCCTTTATTAAATCTGAAAAAACTAACAGATTTACCAAAGGAAGTGAAAGAACACAAATTGTGGAAGAGTAATTTTCACTTTGAATAAAAAATCAAATTATAGTTTTTTATGCAAAGTGAATAATTTTTTTTACTGACTTTAATATCTAGGACATAAAATCCAGGGGTAAAATATAGTAATTTCTTCCTTTGTTGCAAAGAAAATTTTCTGTAACAATCTTTTGCCCAGAAAGATACTTTATACTGAGGACTTAATTTTCATACAGAGGACTTCTATTGTTCCTACTCTACATTCATTCAGTCCTATCTGAATATTCTCTACACCTAAATGAGAAAAGTATTCCATAGTTAAGAGTCTCTCTAACCAAGGTGCATAGATACACTATAAGTGAGAATGTTCGTAGAAACAAAAGACGTTCAGATCAGGTCCAGACAGAGCAACCAAGCAGATGCTGAAGAATCTCATCACTTTTGTCATCTGCCAACTTATTCTGAGGTAGGAAAAGAATAAGACTTTCAAGCAGACTAATAATGATGATAGATTAGATAGGTAAGATGGTATATTAGATAGAAGATAGATAGATGGATAGATAGATGATAGATGATAGATAGATAGATAGATAGATAGATAGATAGATAGATAGATAGACAGATATCGATTATATGGATGATGGGTAGAAAGACAGATATCGACAGAAAGGCATAGATTTTGTTGTTGTTCTTATTGTTGACAACCTTCGAGTCCAGCACAACTCACAGTGACCCTATGAACAAAAGGCCTGAAGCCTTTCTAGAAATATCACTTATCAAAGTTCCTAGAGTTTCCAGGGGCATGTTATTTAGGAAGTTGATGCCATTCCATAATCTCACTAACTCACTGCAATCAAGTCAGTTGCAACTCATAGTAACCTTTCATTGGATTCTAAGGCTGTAAATGATAATGAGAGGAGTCTATCTTTCTCTCACCAAGCCACACATGAATTCAAACTGCTTTCCAAAACTAGAAAGTGTGACAGCTACTAGGAAAGCTGAGAGTGTATTTCTTTAACCATAGTCCATTAGCTATTTCTTACAATGATGTTAGTAATTGTCTAAGTTATTTCATCTTAGAAAAAGTCTTCTCTTTATAAACAATAGCAAAATGTTCTTTAGAATCAAGAATAATGAATGAGACTTCACCTCACATACTTTGGGTATGTCATAAAGAAGCACTAAGCCCTGGAAAAGAAATACTTTAAAATATAGAGTCAGGTAAAGAGAGGAAGACTGGGTCGCCACAGTGACATTAACAATGGGTTTAATCGTAGTGGAGATTGTGAAAATGGCGTAGAATTAGGCAAGGTTACATTCTACTACTAAGTGTCACAGCCAACTCAAGTGTATACCTAACAAGCTATTCCATAAAAGCACTGCCCTAAATGCTCTATTTAATGTCACAAAATAAAGTATTTTTTTCAATGAGAAAACAACTTAATTACTAGATGTGATAATTTGATCTTCCCTAACACATCTCAGCATTTAGGTTCTGGGGGTTAGGTTTTCAAAATTAGAAAAGTAGAGGGAGTAAATATATTCATTTAGTACAGAAGAGAGCATCGAGGGGGGAAAAACAACATCAAACCAATAGTCACCAAGCAGGGTTTTAGGTTTTTTTAATACTCTGATACATTGTATGTTGTACACAGGTAAAAATATACTGTGATCCACACAGTCAAATGCCTTTGCATAGCAAATTAAACACAGATATACATTCCTCTGGTACTCTTTGTTTTCTGCCAAGATCCATCTGACATTTCAATGAAACAGGCATTCTTCTCGTACTCTTTGCTTTCTGCCAAGATCCACCTTGATTGGCGATACTGTCTCTAGTACCATGACATCTTCTAAACCCAGCTTGTATTTCTAGTAGTTCTCTGTCAAGGTACCATGCAAGACATTTCTTGATAATCTTCACCAGGATTTTGCTAGCAAGTGACATCACTGATATTGTTTGATAATTTCCACACTCGGTTGGGTCACCTTTATTTGGCATGGTAATAAATATGGACCGCTTCCAGACAGTTGGCCAGGTAGTTGTCCTCCAGATTTCTTGGCACAACCTTGTGAGCACATCCAGGGCAGCATCTGTTTGTCGAGACATGTCAATTGATATTCCATGAATCCCTGAGGCTTTATTTTTTTCCAAGTCCTTCAGAGAAGCCTGGACTGCCTCCTTCATCACCATTGCCTCTTAAACATATGTTTTTTCATCAAATCCTTCTCTGTCAGCCAAATTCATTTTAAAGAGAAAAATAGGAATCCCAGAACATTGACTGAACTTATGTGAAATCTATACTTGGACCAGGAAGCAGTTCTCAGAACAGAGCAAGAAAACAATG